GTTTAAGATCTGTTCTCTTTTTAACTTCATCACATGCCATGCTGGTGAGTCGATCGCTTCGGAACGATGCCAGGTGCTCAGCCCATGCAATACTTTCAGCTGAGTTCCGTTCACTTCTGAACATTTCTAATCCCGGCAAGGTTTGAAGATACTTCTTAATCGGCGACCGTTGTCCAAAAGTTACTTTCTTCCCTTGTTTTTCTTGCCTTATGTGACTCGAGAGAAAAAATTACATTAAGTCTGTCCTAATTCGTGGCTTGTGTTTGCTTGTATGTAAATTTATTACAACTAAGTTGAAAATAACAGACTACAAGCTTTGTCTCCATACCTGTCTCGGATTGCAAACTTCCACATTTCTATTCGATCTTTTGACCAGCTATACATTCTGAGCATAGAGTTAGTTTCCTTACTTTTCGTACCTCGTGCGCACATTCGGATCTATTGTCCTCAGACTGTTGGTTCTATCCACCCCTCTTTGTTTACCCTGCCATTCCCTATAGTTCGTGAATTTCACCCGTTGTCCTGTGGGATTTTAGCAGTCTTAATAATTAGCTCATTCATTTAATCCCACAATAGTTAGTGGAACTTTATTTCACCGCTAAATACTCCATGCCCATGTAAACTCGCCCTTATTTTATTTCGAACAGTTGACCTTACGCGACCTCATGTTGCTTTACGCACCGTCCGGATTGTCCTCGGTGAAGCCAACTCGCAATTGGTGGTCTGGCTTTAAATTCCACTACTACTCCTTGTCCACATGTGGTTTTAAATTGGCATGCTTTCCGTTTTGTTTTGCCACTGTTTATCGGAGAGTTCATCGTGTTGACCGATTGACTCCCTGTACGATCACCTGCGGTTCTTCAGTAAAGAGCAAACCACTACAGTGGTTTGCATGCCTTACGGAATTTACATAATTACGTGTCTAATGCACTCACAGTCATTCGACTCGTCGCATAAGCTGCAGTCTTGCTGCGGACGGATGCGCGTGTGTACGAACGAACGCGAAAGACCATACCAGCGAATGAACGGTCGAGCTGATGGAATTTATCGATTTCATCCAATTAAACCGAAGTTGGCCGATTCCTCTATCACGAGTTAGAATTGGAGAAATTACTACCACTTTTTTCTCACCCGTTCCTCTCTGTCCCTGTTTGTTCTTGCCAGTGTGTGTTGCGTTTATATTGAGGTTGTGTATGTATACAAATTGTACACAGCTGGGCTAACGGGAAGTCCAGTGTCCGACGGCTCGTCCACGGGCGTACGAAAGCGTGCGCGCGTGAGAATCTTTGTCAGAGGTGCGTTTCACATAGATGCACAGCTTTCGATAAAAGAAACTGTTTCTCTGTTTCCGTCCACACACATACACGCACTCCGCTTATTTCCTTCGCCATCCTCCTACGCCACGGTTCTCAAGCAGTCTCAGCTTTGCTTTCCTTCGCCTCCTGCCCGATCTGCGTACTGCCACCACCACGCGCTGCTTATGATGTGGCTTTATTTACTGCCGCCGTGCTGATAAATTGAAACATGCCTACCGTTTGTCATTCGCTCTTATCCGTACTATTATGTCTGTATGTCATCCCCGGAACTGTGTGGCCACAGTCAATCCGCTGGCAGATCTGTTGGACAGTGAAGTTTACTCATTCCTGGAGTCAGGTGAAATTCCGCTTCATCTGAATGCTGACAAGTTCTGCATACCATGAACTGCCTTTCCGTGTTGAGTTGCACCCTAAGCCCAATTGTATGACGCCCTAGTCATTAGGATTCTAGAGTCCAGAACATGCGATTTCCAAGGCCTCTTTTTAAATATCCGTCCCGTTGCGCGGCAACTTCATTTGCCTGCATCGGTGTACTAGCTAATAAAACTGGACTTGTAGTTCTCATCATCATGATTTATGGGTCTGGGATCGTTGCTTTCGTTAACCTTTTGAACGGTTTGTCGGCTTTAGTGTGTTTTTTATCCAGCGCAATTCAGAAGAGTCTTCAGGAGCAAATTTTCGTCCTCGGGCACTTGCTAACAGTCTGTCACAAAATTAGGAACAAATCGTACACTCAGTATCCTGTCGATCTCAACATTTGATTTCAGAAGAATGGGTGTTTGTAATTCAATGGGATCGACTATCGAATAACCGATCGTCTTTGATAAATGTGCACAGCTATTTGGTTGAATTATGAAGGATGGTCACTATCGAGCCTGTCGTCGGGCAAAGTGAATGCTGAATTTTTCTTCTCTCCGAAAAGCCCACAAAGCACGTACGTGCTAATACGTGCTCACAGTGGTTCGACTCGTTCTGTTGTTTCTCACATCCTTCGCGAGGCATTTAATTGCGAGCCAACTGCACAAGAAACTAAATGCTACCGATAAGCTGTATTTAGTCATCCCGATTTTCGGATGTTGTTCGACGGGAGAATTGTCTTTTCAAACCTTCAATACCCGAAGAGAACATCGGAGTAAATAGGTCATTTTTCTTTTCTTTAAAGGGACGTCGAACATCTATCATGGTCACGCGTGCTCTGTTTTTCAGTATTCCTCTTAAGGAGAGTTGTTTTATCTTTGGTTCAGCTAAAACTCTGACTGTGGACGTTATGCAATTTAATGCCGGTTACCTGCCCTATCGACGCGCGGGTCAATTGAAGCCCAATTGAAGTTGCACAGTCAAAGCTTCGACACATTTATAAATTTCGTAGTCAGGTCTTACTTTCCAACCTTCTTCCATGCTTCAATGATCAAGTACACTTCTTAAAAGAATTGGTGCTCCTGTCTACTCTCACGGGTTCTGGTAGTGGGTTTCTCCACGTGGTGGCCCCTAAGCAAGAGAGTGAATGGCGCCGCTGGTTCACCTACACAGTTTCTTGTTTCATACCAATGATGTGGAGGCTGAGGTTGAATGCTGCTTTTGTCCAGGTGCTAGAGTAGCTGGCTCAACCATGCTGGACAGGTTGTAGGCAGAAACCCACATAAAGATAAGCAGTCGTCATACTGTGAAAAGTATTAGGCATCGGATCAGAAATAGAGTCTTGCATTCTGTGCTAAGAGCATAGATTCAAAGAGATGTTTTCTCCAAGTGATCGATATTCCCGTAGCCTTGGAAGCAGCAACGTAGCACATTTGCAGGAAGGACGGGTTTGGAAATGCCTTAAAATCTGTCCACTAATTAAACCATGAATACGAATACGCGAATTGCGTCGCGAACCAGTTGTGATTCTGGATGTCAGTTTAAGACCAGTACTCCACAGCTAGGAAACGTAATCTCTCGCTAAAGATGCACCAAAGCTGGCAGTTCTAAACATTTTCCAATTGGTTGAAAAGCTGGCAGTCTTTCATTATGGTTTCCTCTGCTAGCTAGTCTCTGGTAGGTTTGCTTAGTGAACAAACACAGTTATTGTCAGCGGTCTTTGTTCGTGCCTAATATTTTTTGTACGCATCCTGCCTTCACACACTTGAACGTCTGATCAGGGAAAAACGGGGGAATATTCAACCAAATAATAGTACGACCTACGGAAACCATGGTCGCAAGTTTGGCAGATGATTCGTTTAGCGCCGGAGGTCAGTCAACATCTATCTGCTCTATGGTGGGCCATCTTAGTGATAAGCCAGTGTTGCCGAGCCTTTCAGCCTACCATAGCAAATCCTGTTTCGAACTTCTTTCTTGAGAGCATACTATTCATAAAGATGCTGAAGACTCTGAATAGTCAAGAAAATACGATGCAGTACTTTGAATATCGTGCCAATGAAATACGAGGAGGTGCAGAATATCCGATGAAAAATCCTAAATTTTAGTCTCTGGTTAACACCGAAGTGTTCCTCCTATTCCTCTTCTCTCATTCGTTCCCCTTTTCGGTAGGGTTTATATTCTGTGCTCTGTTTATTCAGCTTGTACTAATCCAACAACAGTCCAAGATATCGAGCTTATAAGCCGAATTCAAAGGTGAACTGTCGATGAAATTGTCGTGGTGGTGAAGGAAGTGGTGATGCTCATGTTGATTATGGCTTTGTATTTGTCTGGTTGCCGGAAGGGTAATAAACTGCACGTGCGTTTTTTCTGAGAACCTCACATCGCAATATATATATATATATGTATATATATATATAATATATATAAACAGACTTTTAATGGTATCTGTACCAAAACAGTAGACTCAAAAAGGTAAAGAAAACAAAGGCCAAAGGACAGTTCAATGTATTTTTCGTGTTCCGGCTTCGTGCGAATTTTTGTTGGCTATCGGTGGTTGTGGTTACGGTGTGGGTGTCAATAACGTCACACCATTAGGTCCCATTTTGAACCGTGTCTTTATGCGTATCCACCCTCCGACTGCCAATAGCTTTCGGGCTCCAACCAGGACATCGCAATCGACCGACTGTTGCTAGTTCTATCATAAATTTGATATTCTTTTCACCCTGTACTCTTCCACTCCGATCATGTCTAAACAAGGCGCATAAAATGCGCAGAAAGTGCCCAGCTGTCCGATTTAATGAAATCACTTTTTTCGAAGTGGGACTTACCAAGCTCAACACTTTTATGGACGCGTTGTTTCTAACCTGTTTCCATCACGGGTCCAGCGCTCCACAAATGATATTTTTCAAACAAGCCTAATCGATCCACATCATCTACATGAAAGGAACTGTTTTCGCTTGCGCAGAGCAGAGTAGAGTGATGGCATTGTGGTGCCCACCTTTCAGCAATGGTCGAATTTCCTGTTTTTGCGATGACTTTTTATGGCCCGCAGAAGCAGCACTGACTCTCGAAGTTCTTGAGGGAAACTGTTCCTTTGTGTACCTACCAGTTAGTATGCTGTTTGTCAAGTAGACGAAACTGTCAACTAGCTTTAACCTATTCTTGTCCAAGGTTTGGCTTAGTACATGCTCCTAGCGATTCTGGAGCAGTGTGTTGCGCTCTGCGGGAAGTTTACATTCTTGTTAATTGCTTCTTACCTGTTTCGTGACTGCTTCGGTCTCGCACCAACCATCCTTGCTTTTATCCCCTGCCTTTTCTTCTTCACAGAGAGTCATTATCATCACAGCTCATTATACCAACACCAAGAGAACAACCGGTGTCCAACGGATTGTCGATATAATCAGATGGATTTACGCGAGCTTTCAATACCAAAGTTCAATCGGTCTGCTTCTCGTGATGCGTCCGAGTCAAAACCATGTGAGAGCCTACAGGACCGATGTCATTTCGGTCATCGTTCCTTCCAGAATTCGGATGTACGAGATGATTTTACTTCTTCAGAATCATTCCAGTCACCAAGAAGCGACGTTCCTGCTATTTCGAACACTTCTGTTGCGATGAGTTCGGCGTCCAGTAAATATCACTTCCGTATGCGTAATTCGCTATATTGTTGGTGTCTGTTACCTGTCCTTCTGTGTATACTCTGCCCCTCTTTGCCAAGAACTCAGCCTATGATAATCTTTCTCGAACACTGTTCAAAGCCGACGGCTCTTTCAATACGCACCTCCAATGTGAGAGTCCCTTCCGATTATCTATGCCAAGTTTCGCACTCAACTCGTTCTAGTTCAGTCACATGACTGTTTTATGCAACCTCTTCGTGGTTTCCCGCAGCAAAGACCCAGTAATGTAGCACAGCTAGAACCCAGTCTTCCATCGGCGGACGCTTCGTGAAGCTCTCACCACCCTTCCGAAACAGCTCACTTGCGGATGGAAATGTACATTGAAAAGTTTCCTTCCCTCTTTCTCACTCATCTCTATAGAATTCAACTAGCGCGTGATAGCGAGGATTATTCCGTTCATTTCAGCGGCAAGTCAGTTTGTTTTAGCCGTATGTCTTAACTACGGATTCGTAGTGCACCAATCGTTGCTTGTCGGTGATCTAATCACTTTCTTTTCGTCGTTTTCATTTCCATCTATTTCCAGTTCAATCGATTCTTCTATTAAGGATTCGATTGTCATCATTTCTCTTCTGCTGGTTCTCTGGTTCTGCACGCTCCGTTATCTAACCTCGGCATCTATCATAGACTTTTTTGTGCTGCTGTAAATTTGACAGCATATCCTCGTTACGCACGTGTGTGTGCTCAGCGGCCCCGTCCTCACTGCTCGCTGCCTTATCATAGCCAAGTTTTGTAGTTGTGTGACGAGGATTCAAACTGTTGATTAGTATCCCCCCACCCACATGTAAAAATGCGTACTTTTGTCTTTCTACATCCAACCTTCCCCTCGTAAATAACGCTGCACCTCTGTACAAGTCTCACATCCTTTTTCACCTATTGCCAAGCTGTTTGCTTGGATTCCTGAATACCTTACATAGCTGGATAGTAGTGAATGCTCCGTGCACCATACTTGCTTAAACCAGTCCGGTCAGACGTCTCCACTAGTTTTGACAGTAGATTTTCCCATATGGCACAATTTTCATGGGACGGTTACGTTTACTATGCCTATGAATCGACCCATGAAAAGCACTTTGCCTTCCGCTAGTCGGAGTCTCTGTCGGTCGACCTCGTGCACAATACGTTGCGTAAGCCGACCACCAACTCCTTCCGCACCCTAATTCTCATGCAGTTGATTTCGTTTTATATTCGTCTAGTTATTTTGCACGGTATATTCGAGTCTGGGTTTATCTTATCTATACATAATAGGCCTGTTGCGCTGCTGCACCTGCACGCGTTCCCATCTACCCCATCGTTCACCCTCAGCTGCTGCGTTCGTCCCACCCCAGTCCTCTTATCGCTTCTATTTTAGCGCCCTAGATTCTGCTGCCACCGTATTTCCACTATTCTGCTTGTGTATAAATAAAATAAACTGTTCAACGATCTCCTCCCTTCTTCTGATATTCCTAAACGGTTGTGATGGTTCAAAGTCTAAATCACCATTGAGTTGGGTCACTCTTGATAGCTTTGTGTCCCTGTTATGTGAAGAAGCGCTCTTTACGGGCACTCCATCAGCAAGCTCTCAAAATTTATTTACCATATTTCACAAAGATTACTTGTCTGCATACTCAGTTGTCGCGAACCGGAGGCCCATATCAGATTTGAATGAATCACTCAGTGATGCGGCTGGTGTTCTCCATCTGAAATGCAACTCGTAGGCTATCTTGGGAATCATCATCCAGATATCCGCTTATTCCTCCATAAACACTCCTATGCACAAGAATAACGTATATTTGCATGTCGCCAGTTCCGCCCCGCGCAGCGCTGTTCAGACAGAAGTAACTGTCATTTTGATCCGCTTCAGGTTTGACGATCATTACTGTTATCACTGGGTCTCACGTTTCCTGAGAAAGTTGCTTTATGGTAGCAATGAAGGCGCCGTAGTTTTCCGCATAGGTTGACTGGACTGCGTTAGGGACAACTCAGTGAAACGCGGACTAAAATCTGCCGTAGGCTAGAATAAGTAGACCACGTTGTCAGTCCCCGCCAGGTCTTCGAACAGTGTCACTCTTTTCGACGCTCAACGTTGTTAGAACCTTTTGTTTGGATGATTTGTTACTCATTCCATAGTTTTACATCAGTAGTAGGTGTTCTTGGTCAGTTTACTGCTAACAGCTGCGAATGGAGAACTATTTTGACGGAATTGCTGTGGCGGAGATACTTGACCTTATCGTCGTGTTACAGTTTGTGGTCATGAAACTAACTTCTAACACAAACAGACCGAATCACCATTAGCTATAGATGGTGCGGGTCAATTACTGATTGTCACTGGCTCTGAACAATCTATGTAGCTTTGGATCACGCGCTTGACAGTTGCTGCTTCTTGTTAGGTTTTCAGGGGTTCGCAGGATACGAATATCTTGCCCGGCCATTAAGAAGCTTCCGGAAACTGATATGAAACGAAGACCCCTTCCGACAACAGGTCTCTTGATGTCGGCTCTTACTGGAATCCAAGACGCTGGGCCTTCCTCTTGTGGAATGGCACAGCCAACTAGATCTAAGCACAAGATTTCGGGCAACGCCCAAAATTTACCCCAAGCTGGGACGTATTCCTACCGGGAGTACAATACCACGGCAAAATGTCAGACATAAAGGAAAAGGGGCATTTGAGGGGATTGAGAGGCTTGTCGGGTCCATAGAACCAAGGAGTTTGAAGAAGCGTAAAACTGAAAATATACGGTTAAAAGCGCTTAGGTTTTTGAGCTGAAAATGTTTGACAACAATTCAACTGGGCGCTTAATCGGATCCTGAACCCGCAGCTATTCCATGGACAGTGAAAATGAAACAACGGCGAAATTTCTCTTCGACAAGCATCCCGAGCTTCTGATCCTGGAGGAGGTGAAATCCTTATTTGGTGCTTGTTCGCAGCCACCTGAATAAGCGGTAACGTCCAGTTTCAAAAAAGGGTCCTCGGGATGCGTGCAGGATTCTCAGAGCAGCCAGCTTGACTCTGCGCCACTGATTTCAAGTCGTCATGCGAATGCCCGTGGAGATAGTGGACAAGAACAACCGGCCAGCAAGGTGTTTTTGCACTGCATCTCCAAGCTCCGTCAAGTGTTAGGGCAGTGGCTTGCATACAGCTGCCATACACTTTCGTATCCTTTGACTTCAAGGGTACTTCAGATTCTATCGATCCGTTCGTTCTTTTAAGCACGCTTTTAAACATGCTCGCTGTAGTAATATACGTGTGGACGCGTACGAGTGTATGGGGGGTTCTGCAAAAGCTTTCCCTGAGGTAGTGGTACCTGACAAGGATGTCCATTCTCCATTTTTTGTTGAATTTTGTGGTTGATAGGTAGTGAGGCGAACACTTGGAGATCTTTAAAACCTGGGCGTACAGGTCTACCTCAGTGATAACCTTGTCGACCATGAATATGCAGGTGACGTTGTCTTAAATTCTTCAAAAAGAGCAGGAAACATGAGCATTAGTAGAAAAGTAGACCAAGGACATCCAGTCCCTCGGTAGGTGCTTCGCGCCAACAAAGCGCAAAGTCATGTTTGGGGACGTACCGTCTTCGAGCGTACATTTTAGGATTCAAGGGTGACACTGGAGGTTGTGGAACACTATTTATCTTTCGAGTTGCCTTATCTCTGGTGATGGTGTGACATCCGACGCGAACACACCAATCTCGGAACCGGAATCAAGTTTGCGAGTTTGGACCACCTATGGCATTAAAATGAGGCATTTCTGGCCATCAAAGGACTCGTATGTTAGGCTACAGTGACGGCTGTACTGTTGTACGTTTGTGAGACTTGGCCACTACGGGTGAAACATCTAAGGTTTCCTCAGATCTTTTAAAACTGATATCCCAGAACTAGAGTTGAAATCAGCGCATTTGCAATTTTTGTCTTAATGGGATAGCTAAAAAACAGGTCGCTGGTGAATCGTCCAAGGAATGCAACCAGCAATGTCAGCTATTTGTTACGGATGCCATATTACACCTGTTGAGGACAGCTTCGTTTTCCTTGCCTAATTCGGAATGTCGGAAGCTTAGAGGTGGACAGAATATGACATCGCAGAAGGGAACGAAGGATGTCACGAAAAGTTTGGGTGCCTTTGGCGTTTTTCATTTTCCAGGGGCCCTAACGATCTTGCTTGGTTAGAGACACTGAGGGATGCAGTGGCCAACCGATGTCAGTGGCGTTCATGGTGTTAGCTCCTATCCAGGCTGTTCGACCGAGTTCCGGAGATGTGGGCATATCGGGTGTTTGTGCTAGGCCAGCTCTAGATTCCTTCCCGGTCTCAGTATTTTTTCAATTATATGGCTTGAAATAAACTGACGAAGATGTACGGCAGTGAAGCAACAGTGTTCTTTGGTGTTGCTATGAATCATGATGTTGTGGTAAACGTGAATGTAGTGAAGGGTCTATGCACTAAAGTAAGCGAAGATCGAAAGTACAGCGAATATATATTTATATGTTGAAGTGAGAGGCCTCCGTCTTGTAATATACATTCGTGTCTGCGAATGTCGGAATACGTTCCCTCAATTTCCCGGTTCTCAGGAACATCAGTACGACGAGACGGTTTACTAATTGGCGTCTAGTTACCCATTTTTTATTTTGTCTTATGAAAGTGGTACTTTTCTTGGAACGCAACTCCCTTCGTTTAACTTGCCGATCTGAAATGACTATCTCTACTTATCTAAACATGATTCTGTCAACGTCATCACAAGATGTGGCTTGTCTCTCACTCCACAATTCTGCCTATTTCGCTTTTTTGTGAAGTCTGAATAGATAAGCAGTGTTGAACCAACTTAAACTAATTGTTTTGGGATTAGATTAGCACATAGAAACCTAAAAACTGATTTCGCTTATCATTGAATCGTTGAAAGAGAAGCTAATTGATTCCCTACTTAGGAAATTTCACTTCAAAATCAATAGGTTGCGTTTTGGTGAAAATTGCTGACTGCGGAAAACATGGGCCCTTGATAATCCAGTGAATTACGAAACCCTAATGCCTGACCAGTCCCTATCGATAATGGCGATGGGAATATAAATTATTCACTTTCTCGAGTGATGTGAATAAGCAGGAGTTCACAGAAGAAAATATTGGGGAAGGGAAGAAAGCCTTCGCTGTGGAGATTTCACTTTTCAAGAGATGCGAAGCGGATTTACGAACCGGCGTAACAGCACGCGTGTGGACCTGTAGAACTACTTCAACTGAGACGTTCCGCTATTGCGAATGTTATATACCAGTCAGAACCGATTGCCTGGTTATTTTTGCAGTCTGAAGTACTTCCTGGTTAAAACGTTACCGATCGAGTCCAATGTCCGCGTATTGCTGGTTGCGGATGCTTGCGTCTTCTCTTCGTATGCTGAAGCGGAATCACAGCGATCGACTGATGCTTTGGTTCAGCGGCTCTGTCTTGTATAAATATTCCTAAAACACCTGTCTTTTGTTGGGGTGCCTCAAATATATAGGTTAACGGTTGTTAGAAAGCATGGTGTACCTATTTCCTCCGCCTTGGCAGTGCATCACCCGCAGGCCTAATTCTTAACGGTAAAGTTGACGCGCAAATCACGGGATTAGCATGACTCCTGACCGCCTTAAGAAGCGCATCTGGTGCTGTCATCACTTTGTTGGAGACATCGGGATCGCAGTATCTAGCTGTTGCGTTGTTATCACCGCTGTACAACAGTAAACCCCGGAACCTGTACAGACGATTTTTTCGAGAAATCGACCAGTTGCATTTGCGTGACCTGCGCATAATCCTAAGGGTAAACAGACAGACCTCGTCCCTAACACCAGAGCTTCTCAAATGATGAACACTGAAGTCCCATGTGAAATCAGTTCCGCCGATTGGGACACTTGAATCCAACAACCAATTTTCTATAGTCGGCCGTAAAACGAAGCTGAAAACATGAAACCTCCATAATTATGCTACTGGTACAGCCTCTAAGTTAGGAAAACAACAGTCCCAATCATATATCATGGTGGGACCTAGCAGCTGACAGCCAGTCCGAAACAACGGCTGCCTCAGATAAGATGCATCTCAAATATGCAAAACAAAACAATTCCTTTGAAAAGGGTTCAACTTCCCTAGCTCAATCTACATTGCGCGGATCTACACAACATAGAGTCTTCGTGATAGGAACGGACATGTGGTTCACGGAAGTACACGATAGTCTGCCTGCTGGACGTACATAACTGGAACCCTGATGAGTGTGTTCCACTTTCTAATCAGGATGGCAATATATCCATTATCCGTTATCACCGTGATGGTGAGCCTAATATGCCGTGTTTTGAGGTACATTACGGTATTGTAACTTACAAGGGACGGTATTAAGCTGAGACAAAAGAAATGATAGATGATGCCTCAATAAAGAACAAAATTATTGTTGGATGTGATTTCTACCCAATTGTGTTCGGGCCGACTGATATCTTGCAACAACCTATATGTTTTATGATTGGCTTCATGAATTGTCAATTTCCACCTTGGTTTTTGCCTGATTAGAACTTCTTTTATTTTCTGCACAAATAAATGAATAGCGTTTTTTGTCGGCCAGCTGATTAACTGGCGTTATTCAGTTATCAACCCATAGGCTGATTTTTAGTGACACATTTACCATTGTCTGATTAAATTTAATGATTGAGTGATTGATGCCCGCCTGAGGAGCCTCCAAAAAGGCGAAACCGGTAGTTGGCTATCTGTAATATGTGTGGACCTTATGAGCAGTATGTAGTAGTTGAACTGTTGCAACAGATATAAAGAAATATTCCAAGGACTGCCTAAATCAAATCAAAATACTGGCCAGACCCCAATCAGCACAAACTTTTTTGGGAGACAAGCTAATGCCTTTCCAACTCTGGTGGTCC